CTGGGATGGAATTCCCAGAGAAGCTGTGGCTGCCCCGTCCCTGGAAGTGTCCAAGGCCAGGTTGGATGGGGCTTGGAGCAACCTGGACTAGTGGAAGGTGACCCTGCCCATGGCAGGGGGTGGGACTGGATGGGCTTTAAGGTCCCTTCCAACCCAAACCAATCTGGGATTCTTCTTTGGAGGGGTTTCTCCAGACTCCATCCTGAGGTGGAGCAGGGCTGTGGAGGCAGGAGGGGTGCTGTGATCCTTGGAAATGCTTTGATCCCTGCCTCCCCCAGGGCTTGGGATCAGTCCAGCAATAAGCCTGAGCATAAATCCTCCTGCTGTTTCCTTGCTGCCTTCAGGAAGGACGTGTTTGCCCTCACAACTTCCCTCCTGTACCCCGAGTGTGGGAAAACTGCATCTGAAGGTGCTTTGGCTTTTAAATTTGCAAACTGAAGCTTGAGGCCCCTCAAAGGACAGCCCTTGATGGGGGACACTGCTATCCCTTGGAACTCAGGCCGGTGATTGCCCATTCATGTCCCTTATCCTGCTTTCCCTCCTCCACCTGGCAGTTCCCTGAGGTTTGCACTGGCACAGTCATTTCCGGAGCCCTGCAACCATAGAAACACGGTGCTCCTGATGACAGGAATTTAATTTTCCGAGGACAATGAGGTGCTGTTAAGGCAGCTGGGACTGGGAGCTCTATTTCTGCTGTTCCATGAGAAAAATGGAGTGGAGGGGGGGCTGAATTCTGGGGAGGAGGAGCAGAGCAGGAGGGTGGAATTGAAGGATAAAATTGTTTTTGACGAGCTCCTAAAAGCCCTCTGTGGGAAAACACTCGGAGGAACCTTTGCTTCTGACACACCTGAGGCTTGAAGTTCAACCTGGTTTTATTATCCTGTTTGTGTTGTCAAGGAAAGCTGGGCACGGACACTCATAAGAGGAGTTTTCAAATGAAGACTGTTTGCACATCACGGAATTCACTGGCTAAAATATCCTATTTGCATTGCAGATCTTTTAGACTTCATTTAAGCCAAAGCTCTCTTTTAATTAATGTGGATTTTAACAATGTAAAAATACCCTTTAAAGGCACGGTGGCAACTTCTTTGCCAGTTTGGTGTGAGTTGTGGTTACTTTCAGATATTGGAGTTGTTATTTTCTTTCTGGTGATGCTTCTTCAGGCATCCCAATTATTTTGTGATATATTTTAAGGCAGGTGGAGCCAAGTCTTTGTGCTGCAGCTGTGAGAGTGAAAAGAACTCTCTAGTTGTTCAAATAACCAAAAAGCTTTGTAAATTTGAACAGAAGCCTTGATGTGCCTATTCTGTTGATTATAACCTGCATATCTTTGTTCCCAAATGTGCTGGTGAAAATATTTATGTATTGTGACATTTCATACGTGGTAGTTTTTCATTCAAAAAACTGTTGCCACAGTTGTTGAAAGCAGTTAAAGAATATGTAAACCTGATTGTCAAGTGTCTATTATTCCCCTTTTTAAAACAGATAATACAGAACTCAAAGCCTTATGATTACTGGGGTTAATTAAGCAAAGTGAATACAAAATAATCCTCTGGGTTCAGACCTGAAATTCTCACTAATAGCTGTGGATAACAACAGCCTTCTGGTTTTTATGAATTATCCTCCAAGCTCATTAACTGATTTTCTCTTCCAGGTTACAGCCATTTCTTTCCTTGTCCCATTTATCCATCACCAGTGAAAAAAAAAAATTGGCTAAAATTCTGCCCCAAACACCTGCAGATATAAAAGTACAGTGGATTTATCACTCAAGGGTAGAGAAGTCCCAGAAGGCTCTTAGTGTGCAAACATTGACTGAGTGTCTGAACTTTGAGAAATCCTGACAAATATCTTCGACTGGGGGACCTGCTTATCTTTGAAAGCTTGTTCTTGCATAAAGTAAGAGATTTTGGCTCTCCCTTATGTGAAATCTCAGAAGAAAATGAGACTTGTTAAAAAAAGAAAGGGCAGAAAGATAATAGTACAAAATCTAGTTTATAGCTCATAGCTTCCCAAGACCAAGTGCGAGAGAAATATGAAATATTTAAATATTTAAGGCACAAAAGCAAATTCAGACTTCCAGATTGAAACTAATTGTGTGTGATCAGAACACTGTTTTTAGTCAGAAAAATGGTTTTTTTGGTGCTTGGGTTACCTGGGTAAATTGCTTGGGAGCAGTGAGGTGGAGGAGGGATGGGAGCAGACTCTTCAAAGACTTTAATTGTTAAAAGACCTGGTTAATCTGTAGTTAAGACTTCTCTTGAGTTTCTAAAGTAATAGGTAATAAGTCTGAGTGTTTGCATGAGAATTAAGGAAAAAGCACAAGGCTTAAACCTTAAAATACAGAAATTAAAGGAAGGGAAGGGGCACCCTCACCCAAAGATTTAAGCCTTGTCCAAATTCAAGTTTGTCATTGCTGAGGTTTGGAATGAGATGAGTTTGGGTTTGCTGATTACCTGGGAATTTTATCCAGCTTTGGGCCTTCTCTGTAGATACCAAACTGCCATAACTCTGAAAGCTTCTCCCTGTGTTACTCCTCAATACAAATCACACCTTTCTTACCTCCTTGTATTATCTCCGGTGTAACAACCCACACTCATCTTTATACCAGCTCAAAGCAACAGTTTTTAATGACAAAACACCTTAAAATGGACTGAAAAACACAATAAAACAATAAACTCTGCATTTCAACCTCTCTGAACATTTTAGGGAATTTAGCAGCCTCACTGTCTAATAATCAGACTGTTAAAATCACTTTTTTTGTGTGAAAAGCTCACAGATTTTTGCCAAGCTTCATGTTGGAGTGAACAGTGGGTAAAAACTGATTTCTCTCCTTGTTTAATTGCTCACAGTCTTGAGCTCAGGTGCTGCAGTGTCTGGATTCTGTTAAATTTTAAGCCCTCATTTGAAGGCCTTTTCTGCCTGTGAATTTTAATGGGTGGATGAGCAGGGAACGGTTTAAGGTTCATCCTTTATAGCTGCTCCAAAAGGGAACTTTCACGTGGTGTTACCAGCACTGGTGAGAGGTTGGGAATTCTCCTTTGGTGAGTTTTATTCTATTTGCTTGGTCTGAGTTGAAATGGCAAAATTTGGTGGGAGGGTTTTTTTCTATGAAGAAACCAGTAGTTATAGAAGTTCCTGCAGTGCTTTCTTGTATCAAAAGGGTGATAATTTAAATTACAAGGGTTAGTGTGGTTCCCTCTCTGCTCTTTCCAAACCAGTTCACTGGGCCATAATTAAGCTCAGAAGCACAAGAAAAATGTTCTTTTGCTTTTGGGAGTATTCTGTTCTTACCCAGCTGTTGATTTATAGCTTGAAGCCAGTATAGAATTCTTATTCCCTGATTATCCTCTCTGCAGCGAGGCACTTAAGGATGACTAAACACGTGGGTGTGGGAAAATTCAATCTGTCCCCTTTTGCTGGAATGTTTCCCTGTCCAGGTTCTGATGGCAAAACTCCCCCCTGTGCAGTGGGGAAACGAGCTGAGTGTGCTCTGTGTGCCCACACTGCACTTCTGTGCTTTAAATCCCAAGCTGAAAATCAGAAATATTGCAGGAGTTTTGTGGGTTTTTTTGATCCAACTTCAAAAGCTGATTTGTGTATTATTTTTGAGGATTTTTATACTGATCAATAATCAGTTTTTTCTGAAAGGTTCAGCCTTCTCTCCTCTCAGGACAGTAAGGAACAGGGTTCTGTCTCATGCAGCAGAAACAGTGAGCAGTGGGTGATGTTTCTCAAATGCTAAATGGGTTCCCAGGGCGCTTATTGTGTTTTATAGAAAGACCATGTTCAATAAGATCAATCCCTTGAAGATCTTGAAGAAGCAGCTGGTCACAATCAAGGTGGTTGATGAAAGTATTAAATGATAATAAGAATCATTGGCTAATTTCTCTCCATAGGAAACCACAAATCTCTTGGACCAAAACTCTAATCTTGGGGGGGAACACAAAGTCCCTCCCCTTCTCTCTCTTTTTTTTTTGGAATGAAAAATTAACAAATAGAATTCATGGAAATGTGCCCTTGCAGTGTTTTGGTACTGTGTTTCCCCCCAGGATAGATGTTACTGGTGAGAATTGCTGCTCTTCAAAATGAAAATATAATTTAGAGGTTTTGTGATTTGTATTTCTGTGGCTCTGGGCAATGGGATGTGCAGGCCTGTGTGCAGTGCAGCAGAAGCTGGGATTGCAAGTGTATTTATACCTGAATTAGTTTAATTTAACAGCAAAACCACAGGATTTTATCACGCTCTGTGTGCTCAGACAAGTGTCCCAAGGCAGGACTGTGCAGTTTGTGCTGATGGTGTTGCCATGACTCCAGAGCCACTGGTAGCCAGGGAAAGCAGATTAAACCCAGCCCAGGAACACCTTTAGTCCTTCCTGGAGGCAGAATCAGCTCTGCCTGCTGCTCAGAAGGAAAACTCCTGCAGAGAAACGAAGCCACAGCGACGAGAAGCAGGAACCCTGTTGAGTCCCTGGAGCAACTGGAGGCTGCTGGAGGGGAGCGAGGGCAAATCCATGGAATAAATGTGCTGGAAATAAAAAAAAAACTCTCCCCAAAAACACCCATTTAAAGGGGGACAGTGACATCTTGTGGGCTCGGCGTGCAAGTCCCACCAGAAATTCAGCGCTGGCCGCTCGGAGCTGGTTTTTAACTGGGTTTTTTTTGTGCCGCTGCCTGGAACTGGGGGTAAACAAACATGTAGGGGTTTGGAATGTTCAGGAAGTGGTGTGGGGTGGCACGAGGAAACGCTGTCTAAGCAATGTGCAAGAGCACTTCTGTATATCAGGAAGTTCTTGGGAAAGGACTGATTGACACCCCAAACACCCGCGGCCAGTCATAAATCGGATTTAACGCGGCAGCTTCTGCTGTCTCCTCTTGGCACCCCCAGAAATGGAGTAGGAACCTTGGGCTTGTTTTTTTTTTTTTTTGCTTGATCTAGGTGTTAAACCTGAGTGTTTCCTAGGAACTTAGGCCTGTCTAAGTGCTGTGTTTCCCTGTTGCAGCAGCCAGCAGAGCAGCCAGCAAAGCAGCCACGATGACGACTCAGCCCGGTTCCTGAGCCCCTTCCTGCGTGAGGACAGGTGAGTCAGTGCTGCTGAAATGGGGGGAATGCCTGGAAACACCCGCTGAAATTTCATGGTCAAGCTTCTGATTTATTTTCCTTGTATTTCCCAGACTTGCTTAACAAGGAATGTGATTTATGTTGGTCTTGATGTCTAAAAAAATGTGTTTTTCATCAACTTAAAAGTAGAGCTTGTGGGACAATGCATCCAACTCAAGTAGCCTGCACCTATAACTCCTGTAATTGCAGCTTGCAGTCAGCTTGGAACACTGTGAAAATGCTTTTATTTAGGCCTGTGGACTTTAAGCCCAGTCTAGTTGCTGCTGGGACATGGTTTATTAGACCCTGCTTGAGAGAGCTGTGGGGAAACTGAGTCACAGAGTGAAAAGCTTCTAAGTTATCCCAAAGTGAACCTGTGGGTCACCTCTAGGAGGTGGGGGGAAGCAAACTTGCCGTGTATTTATTGGTGATTGGCAGCTCTGGTCCTTAAAAACACACGTTGAAATTTGGATGTGGTTCTTGTCCTCACCAGGACACTGTTGAGCTTGGCTGTTGTGTTTCACTTCTGGGGTGCTGTGACAGTCCTGAGGTATCCAGAGCTGCTGTGAAGCTCCAGAAGGAACTAAAGTTTCTTGCACTTCAGTTTCTTGTACTTTAATGACTGCTGCAAACTGCAGCATTGGCACAAAAGCTGTTGGAAAAGTAATGCTTATTTTTGTGTGTGATTTATCATCGTTGGTTTGCTCAGAGCCACGTGATTTAGAGTTTTGCTGTCTCTTGTAGTTCAACTTTTGAGCCTGAATCTGCTTGATTTGCTTCTTCTGGGCATGAGCTGTGAGTCCTGAGTTACTCCTGCCTGTCTATCCTGGTCCAGCTCCTCCAGGCCTGTTTCCCTGCTGACATCCCTGGGTCCAGTGTTGCAGCTGGACTTTGGTTTCTGGGATTCCCGTTGTTTTATAAATGGTTAAGCTGAGTTTTACTCAGCTGAGCTCGTGGCTGGAGGTTCCAGTGAGCCCACAGGAGGGCAGATGCTGAGATTTGGGAACTGCATCTGGGCCTGGAACCTTCCACTCCAACTGCTTTTATCCAGGAAGGATCCCTCTGGATTGTGTTGCTTCAGATCTGTAGCTCAGCCCACATCAGCTCTCTGAGGTCAAAGTTTTGTTTCTAACTGTGGAGCAGGGCAAATTCTTACTGAATTCAGAACCCCTGCCAGGATGTCAAAGGGCAATGGGTTGAGTAAGAACTGAGTAGCAGCTGAGGAGCCTTCTGGGGAATGGACTCACTTGAGAGAACATCCTGACCCTGAGGAGCTCATTAATATCCCAAGAGAGTTGGGCTCAGAATTAGCACTTGCTTGTAGCTCACCTCTTCCTCCATATGTTCCACTCCAATTATCCACCTCCCTGGAGCCTGGACTAACTAACAGGTGAAGGTGTTTGGAGCCAGGAAAAAGGTGGGTTCTGAGGGCATAACTGGCCTTCCTCTGTGTGATGTGCTGTCACTCCATTTGAGCTGGAGTTTCATATGTTAACAGGATCAGGATTAGGCTTTTTTAATACTCAGGGATTTCTGGGTATCCTTTGGAAGTGCTGCCTGTTCCAGTTGTAGCCTAAATGGAGCCCTTAGATTGGTGCTAAATATGAGTATTTAGTATCTTCCTGGTTGGAAGGGATGTGTTTGAGGTGCAGCACACTCAAATCTCAGACCTATTTATGCAGAACCAGGGTGATATTGAGCCTACTGACCTCTCATATTTGGGACCTACAACATTCCTGCTGCCTGGATTGAACTACAAATAGCTTTGTTGTTCATGGAGAACACTGATCCTAAAACAAGAATGCATGTGAGGGATAATAAATTACCTTTTGCTGCTCTGCTTTCTTTCCTCCTTTGCTGATGTAATTGCATGAGGCTCCTCTGGTATATTATTCTTTGGATATCAGTGGTTTGTGCTCATGAAACTCAACCAAAAAGAACCTCAAACACACTTTGAGGTGTGAAGCTGGACAAGAATTAGTGAGAAGGCTGACAGAACATTTGAGAGCTTGCTTGCTCTTAACACAGTTGAAGGCTGTATTTCTATTAACACAGTTGAAGGCTGTATTTCTGTTAACACAGTTGAAGG